ATGAGCACACGCATACACAAACGTGAAAAGATTACATGCCTAGTGTTGAAGTGGTCTGTCAGCTTACATTTTTCTCTCTGGTGATGCCAAAATGATGGGCATTTTGTAGAAGTCACTCCTCCCAGGCCAGGGTGGCCATGCTGCTGACCTGCAGAGCCCTGTGGGTCGGGGACACACTCCTGCCAGGCCAGGGTGGCCCATGCTGCTGACCTGCAGAGCCCTGTGGGTCGGGGACACACTCCTCCCAGGCCAGGGTGGCCCATGCTGCTGACCTGCAGACACTGAGTTCATTCCACATCAGCATTATTGACGGTTCTCCACAGAATGTGACAGAACTCAGGCTCTCTGACAACCCTGCCTGGGAAGGGGATAAAGGAAACACCAAGGGCGACAAGCACGACGATCTCCAGCGGGCGCGGTTCATCTGCCCTGTGGTGGGCCTGGAGATGAATGGCCGGCACAGGTGAGTGGTGACAATGGCTGACATGACCCTGGTCTCCCTGGGATCCTCTGTGCTGTCCTAGGGCTGTGGTAGGCCTCGTGTGAAATAATGCCTGATCACGGTGGCCTCCTCCAGAAACCATCTGTGCACTCGGCCCACCCCACTCAGTCACTCAGAACAGTGGCCCTGCTCAGCTCTGTGGCCCTGCTCTGGCTGTGGCCCTGCTCAGCTCTGTGGCCCTGCTCCGTGCTGTGGCCCTGCTCTGGCTGTGGCCCTGCTCTGGCTGTGGCCCTGCTCTGGCTGTGGCCCTGCTCTGTGCTGTGGCCCTGCTCTGGCTGTGGCTGCATGCTGCATCCACACAGGTCTCAGTCTGGCTCAAGCTCTTCTCCCTTGGTCCCTCTCCAGGTTTTGCTTCCTTCGATGCTGCGGTTGTGTGTTTTCTGAACGCGCCTTGAAAGAGATAAAAGCTGAAGTTTGCCACACGGTGAGTTCCCACCACACTCCATTTGTTCCTTCTTGGCAGCTGAGGAAGTGGCTTCAGCATCTTTCCCTCTGTCATTTAAATCCTAAGTTATTTGTGAAAGCATCTAGCAAGTCACCTCTTCTTCCACGGCTCTTCACTATTGCAGGGACAGACTCGAACACTTCATACCCTGGCTGCTTTCTTCCGGGCCGGGTTCTTTCTACTCCAAACTGCTGGCCTGAGGGCCTTGTTCCTCCTCTGCCTCACTTGCTCTGCAGATCCTTATTGCTGGTCCTTCCTCATCACTGAGTACCTTGTTACCCCTCTGATTCATCATCACAGAATTGTGTCGATGTGTCAGTCTCCCCACTGGACTGTGTGCTTTTGAGGGCAGGGGATCAGGTGTATTGTCCCTTGAGCTCTAGGCCATGCCTTGAGTAGTGATCACCTGAGGAGTGTTCCTGCAGACTGTCCTGGCCCATCCAAAGGCAAGTGTGATGATTTGGCGCGTGCAGGGGGTGCTGCCCCAAGCCATGCCTTCTTTGAATTCCTCTGGTGCTCACTTGCATGGTATTTAGTGTGATGTAGATAGAAGCCACGCATGACTGTATACAGTGAATGTCGGTGTGCTTAGGCCTGTCATGGATGGCGCCCTCTGTTGGTGGCTTTTCATGAGCAATTGTCATGGCAGCTCCTGTCCTACCCTTTACTGGTGGGATGTCCTAAAGGAAAAGACCCACCGAAGTCCTGCCCTCAGGGATCCCCCTCCTGCCAGGGAGAAGACCATCACAGAAGTGAGTGTGTCCGTGTGACGTGCTTAGAAGGGAGAACACAAGGCTATGTAGTCAAGGGAGAGTGTTGACCTTAGCAGTGGGCAGTGAAGGTGTCTTGAAGCTAAAGGGCACAAAGGCGCTTGCAAAGCTTGGACAGGAACAGGGGACTCTGCTGACTCCAGAGGCAGTAAGTGTGGCCGGGGAGAGGACAGGAGTGTAGATGGAGTTACAGTTGGTCACCTCATACAGAACTGGGGGGTGGGGGGGGCACCTCGGTGTTCGTGGATCTTAGTCTAAGATGATAGAAAGCCACCCTGAAGTGGGTCCAGGTGTTCTTCGGATTGAAGTGCACACTCCACAGAAGCCCTGAGTGATCCCTCCTGTCCAGCATTCTGGGGCTGATAGGTGATGAAGTCAGGGGTGCTGAGCTGTGGCTGACTCGTCTTCATGGCGTGTGCAAGTGTCACATCAGGCTTTCTTTATAAAAAGTGACATCCGTAGGAGGTACCTGCCTAATGCAGCTGGTGGTATGTATGAGTGACAGTGTCTGGAGAGGGTGCATCACGTGCTTCTGGCCTGGACTTCAACAGTGGGGTGGGGCACAGTTTAATCTGCCAGACTGTAGATGATAGAATGTCACAGCACTGGACAGGCCATGCCCATGAGGCAGGACTCCGGTTTCTCCCTCCTACCCTCGTCTGCCTCGTGCTGGTAGAGACTGACACTGAGACCTGGCTCTTCATAAAGAATAAAAATCCGCTGGACATTCTGGAAGCTGGGAAGTCCAAGCAAGGTGCCAGTGTCCCACAGGGGCGCAGTGTTTTAATGTGGAGGGTGTTGACCTGGGTATGTGTGTGATGGTGAGGGTCAGGGTGAGCATCATGAACAAGCCTGGGTTCAAATGTCATGAGCATCAGGTGTCAGCAAAGCTCCTTTCCTGCCGGCAGAAATCCTGCCCCTCCCCCTCAGGGCTTCTCAGCCAGGACCCCTCCCCCTGGGACACTCTACCAGATCCTCTGTTTGAAACAAGGCTGTGCTCCAGTGTGCGGAGAGACCTTGTCCTTTATAAGGAGCACTCACCTGTGACATTAGCATTAATTGCTTCCTGAGGCTCTGTGACCCAAACTCCTGCCACCAGGCCCTGCCTCCTGGTGCTGCCACACTGGGGACTGATTTGCCAACTGGGGAACTTTGAGGAGCACATCCCTGTAGAGTGTGAGTGTTGGGAGCCTGGCATGTATCGGTTTGGCCTGGGAAAACAGCATCTCTCTGGGCCCAGCATCCAATGTGTAAAGTGAAGGAGTTAGAAGAACGCGGAGCCTTTCCTTCAGCTGCAAACATTCCAGACAAGAAGGAATAAGTAAGGCAATAAATGGAGTCAGGTTGTTAACAGGGACCAAGCTCCAAGTGTGAAGTGTCTGAAGTTTGCTCCTGAGTACATCGGTAGAAGGTTGGATCTCTGCGGGAACCATCCTTAGGTACCAAGTGCGCGGCAGAGAATCCCGGCTGGGCAGCTCCCCTCCTATCCTTCCTTGACTTGAGGGAAAGAAAGGGAGTCTCCCTGGGAAGTTTTTATGGGTCAGACCTGCCAAGTCCCTGGAGCATCTCACATTCCACTGGTTAGAACCCAGTCACATGCTGACACCTCACTTGAAGGAACCTGTGAAAAGGAGTCTGACACACTCACACACCATACACACAGTAATACTAAAATAAACACTCAGAAGCTCCAACTCACTTTGGTCACACTGCACAACATGGTGTGCACTTTGCCTTCAGAGACCAGCCCCCAGAGAAGAGCAGCGGCTGTGGTTTGGTTTATCCAGTAACCAGATGACTAGCAGAATACCAGTTGTACTCCTACTGTTCGTGTCTTGTAATAAGCACATTGCCATCTAAGAGGTCGAGGATAGCTTAACATTTTCAGTGTACAGTAAGGGGAAATGTTGGCCTAAACCGAGACTACTTTAATCTTACATATGTTACTTAAAGTTGATTTATAGTGTCTGCCCTTAAGATCTCTCATTCTGGGCTGGAGACATGGCTCAGCGGTTAAGAGCACTAGTTGCTCTTAGTTCAATTCCCAGCAACCACCATGGTGGCTCACAACCATCTGTAATGAGATCTGGCGCCCTCTTCTGGTATGCAGTTGTACATGCAGGCAGAACACTATATACATAATAAATCTTTAAAAAAAAAAAAAAAAAACTCTCATTCTATTCTCAGCTTTCCAGGCCACATCACCAGATGTGATCTCATCTCTGTGTGGGGAAAGCCTTAGCTGACTTGTGGTGCTGAAATTTGATTTTTATAGTATGTGTTAGTTTCTTTTCCTGGGCTCCTACTTTAAAAAAAAAAAAGTATTTCCAGGCTGGAGAGAAGGCTCAGTGGTTAAAAGCATTGGTTGTTCTTGTAAAGAACCTGAGTTCAATTCCCTGCACCACGTGGTGTCTGGCAACCATTTGTAACTCCAGTTCCAGGGGAGCCAACACTTGCTGACTTCCATGGACACAGGCAGGAAAGCATGCATACACATAAAGTAGTTGAACATGTCGGTCTTTATGCCGCCGCCGCTGAGGACATTGTGTATATGGAGGAGGACTTTATCTAAGTGTCCCCAACAGTGGCAGGAGAAGAGTTGGGGACTTAGCCGGGAAGGATCTGCATCTGCCACCAGGATGGCTAAGGCCAGGGTTTTGGCTGTTTGTCACACGAATTAACTAACTTTAAAAACTAATTAAAAGTCGAGAGTGGCTTTCTCCATCTCTCTCCACATTCTTCTGTGGTGATGGCATGTGCTGGTGTGGGCCATCCAACATGGCAGGAAGAAGAAGACGACAGACCAAGACAACACAGACTGCAGGCAGCCTCTTAAGCTGTGTTCCTACTGTGGGATAAGTCATTTTACCCAGAGAAGGAATCCCCTAGATGTTTTTCTGGAATTTTCTAGAACGAAGTTGTGCTGTTCTTACCCCACAGGGACAGCTCTAGAGAAGCATGGCTTCCTTATGGGTGGGCTTTGTTCTGTCCTCATGCCTCTTACACAGGGTCTCCAGGCCCTCAGAACAAGGCCGCCTGATGGTTACTCCACCGTGAACTGGGTTCATCGGGTGGAGAGATCTGGCCTTCAGCAGCTGCTCACTGAAGCACTGGGCATTCCGGGTGTTGACTTCCGGTCCCCAGCCCCAGCCCCAGTCATTTTCCTCTTGTGGTCTCTCCTGCCTAGGGTCAGGAGTAAAGTCTGGCCAGGAGCACGTGTCTGCGTTCCTGTTTGAACTAATTCGCATCCAGGAGTTGAAACGGTGCCTGGTGAACGTGTCCCTCAGTGGTGGGGTTGACTGCTGAGGCTGGTTTCCCGGGGAAATTGCCAGTGTGGCTCTGTGGGGACTTCCGCCTGCCGCAGGGCTTTGAGTCTGTGCTGCCTCTCGAGGCATGCCACCACCAGTGGGTCCGTCGACGACGGCTCAAAGTTGGCAAACAGAGCCGGCGACTGGATGAGCCCAGGCAGGTCTCCCAGGCCGTAGACACAGGTGTCTTGGGCATCGTGGCCTGCGGAAAGAAACAGAAATTTAGCTGCCCGCTCCCCTGCCAGCTCAGTCCCGGCACAAGTAAGTAGTGCACACCCCACAAGTGTCGGCTGGAGGGCTCCTGCACAGAGGTCAAGATAAGTAGCACCCTGTAACCGTCAGCAGTCTCCAAGGGAATTTCACCTTTGGGCTAGTATTTGGGGGGCATTCTAAATGGCAAGAGCCACTAGATAGTGCTCTGCTATTTAGAATAAATAGTGCCCAGGAGCATGGAGGCTCCTGCCTGTAAATTACAACACTTGGGGGGCTGAGGCAGGAGGATTGCTATGAGTTTGAGGACAGAGTTAGTACCAGGCCAGTCTGATCTTAATGAGCCCTGGGTCTAATTCCTATTTTAATTACTTACACTTGTACCAAGCTTTACTTGGAAGAACCAATAAAGAGAGTTGATGACTTCCTATACTAGACCTTCCTGAGGAACTGCCCGCAGCCAAGGAGAAGCCTGAAAGGTCATAGAGTCAGAGTCTGAAAGCTGTGCAGTGCGGCCACGCACACCCATAATCACAGCACTGGGAGGCTGAGGCAGGAGAATCATGAGTTTAAGGCTAGCCTGGCTACACAGCCTTTTGCTGTGTCAAAAGAAAAAGATGAACAAGGATCTGGTGGTGTAGCTCGGGGATGGAGTCTGTGAGAGAGAAAGGGAGAGGGGCAGCTGTGGCTGTCACTGGCTCCTCACTGAACTACAATATCTACCTTAAAAAAACCAACCAAACCCAAAAAGTTCTAACCAGGCGTGGTGGCAGCTTTTAATCCCAGGAGGCAGAGATAGGCAGATCTCTGAGCTCCAGGCAAGCTACCCTGGTCTACATACATAGTGAGAGTCTATCTCCCCACCCCCAAAAACACCCTCTGACCTGGCACTGTCAGGACAACTGTATTTACTCATCTTTTAGCTACTTGGGCATCAGAGTTGACGTTCTCCCTCCTTATGACTTGTTTATTTTAGGTGAGTCTTTTAAGTAGGGAGAATGTATGTCTGGTTTACTGTCCTAATCCAGGGTCCATTCCCAAGTGCAGTGTTTAAAGGGATGATGCCCTTGTGTGGTAGCTAGTGCTGTGGTTAGGAAACTGCTCATGGACAAATGGCCACAGTACCCAAAAGGGGTGCTGTGCTGTGCTGCAGCCCCCTCATAGTCAGCCTGTGTGGCCTGCGACTTGTACCCCAACATGAGCACACACACACACCCCCACTTCTGTGGACTCTGCACTAACTATCTGTCCACTGGCCATCTGTTTACTCCTTAGCATTATGCAATGAAGTAATGATTCCCCCAAAGCTGTCCACGCTTCCTTCTGTGACTCAGACCTCTGGGACACCAGAAAGAGGGAGAATTCGTGGTTCCTGGGGGAGAATCTACCAGAGTAAACTAGAAAGGTACTTCTACAGCAAGAACTACGCCAGAGCTTGGGTGCCCTGTGCCCTGCGTGAACCAGACATGATGGCACAAATCTTTAATTCCAGCACTCCAGATGCAGGCTGCTGTTTGAGTCTTTACCTGTACATCCCTTGTGACCGTCTCCTTCCTCCGTTCTCCGTTTAGTGGCTCGAATGCTTCCTTCCCAGACAGCATCTGGTGTGGCACCCGGAGCGTCTGAGGGAGAGACAAAACCAGGGTACACTGCAGAGCGCACCTCAGCTGTGTGGTGTCAGCTCTACGCTGCCTTTACCCTTCCTGGGATGAGGTCACTGAGGAAAAACCTCCGCAGTGCACGGCAGGGCATTGTGCTGACCGAGGCCAGCATCCCAAGCCCTGCACTGCATTTTCCGCCCTTTGAGAGTGTCTCTCAGAACTCACTGGATGTGTGTAAAGTGCCCTCAGGACTGTGCTGTGGCTCTGGGCTGTTCTCCTCTAACAGCCCTTGTAGGTGATGTGAGAACAGAGCTTGCTGCAGTCGGTATGAAAGATCATAGAATGGTCCAAGACCGTTTCTGCCAGGTCCCTGTTTGCAAGAGTGTTATCTACTGATGGACGTAGGCAGCCATGCTTGAACACAGTAGCACTCTTTGAAGGAACCAGCTGGCCTTTCTGGAATGTGATTTAATAAATCCAGTTAAAGGATGTCACCAGAGTTGTCAGAAGTGGTAGGGTTGCCACAGACATTAGTCTTCATATTTGGGGGGTGGGGGTCTTTTTCTATTTTCTAGTTAAGAACTCACTCTGTAGCCCAGGCTGTATTGTGCAGCAGCCCCCTGCCTCAGCCTCCCAAGAACTGTGACTGACAGATGTGAGCCCTTAGCACAACGCTGGGCTGTAGTGACTATCCAGTAACATTACCAAGTGAATGAAAAACAGTGCAGATTTTTCCAAACATTTATGCCCAAGATATCCAGAAGGTTCTACTGGAGGAGACAGAATGAGCCATGTGGATGGGAGCATGACGGGACTGTCTCCCTAACTCCACCCCTAGGACCAGAGGCCTCCCTGGTCTCCAGGTGGAGGCCTTGTGAGATGCCGGCCCTGTAGGAAGCCACAGCAAGACAGGAGAGTCAGCCCCCGCTGCCTTCTTCCCTGAGCGGCACCCACAATGGGAATTAGCCTACCTTTCAGCCGGTTCAGGGTCACCCAGTAGTGCTGCTCTGGGCTGTGGATGTCTTTGGACCACTGGAGCATGTCTTTTGCACGGGGATCAGTCAGGATGAACCCTACAAACTTTCTCGTAAGTGCGTAATAAGCACTTCCTGAGTAAACTGTTAGGTTATGGGGTGGTTTTTGTTTGAACCTTATATTTGGAGATATGTAGGTATTTTCTTCAGGGTTAGGCTCAGGGGGCCTTTGGCCTGTCTTGGGTTTGGTGTTTTGGGGTGGGATCGTCATAGGAGTGATGTTTTTATCCTTCCACTTGGTTCTGATGTAGTGGATGATTTCTTTGTTGGTTTTGATTGGGAATTCCTGTCCACAGAGATTCATAACATATTGCCACTCAAATGTGGAGTGGACGAGGTCTCTCATGCAGTTAATCTCTGCCTGCAGCCTCTTAGGGCCATCATGAGCCATCTTCTGTGTCTTTGATGAAATAAAGACATTTTCAAAACAGTTTACAAAGGTTTGCATGGCACTCTTAAACTTCTTTGGGGCCTTTTCATCAATGTGGACACAGTAGACATTCTGAGGTGCGTAAATCGCTCTGAGAAGCCGCACAAACATGGCCAGCTCCTTATGAACACTTATAACATACGCCAAAGAGAAGTTCCCCTCTTCTGCAGACAGTGGTCTGGTTATGAAATGCAGCCCCTGGGTCATCCTGGAACAGTTTCTGGATGTGTGCAAAAGAGCGAGTATTTCAGAATTATAAGGGGGTTTGCAGAATTGTGCGATTTGGGGGGCTGCCTTTTTCCCTTCAAATAAAGCTGAGCACAGTTCATCTGGATAGAAGCCACATTCCACCACGGCGAGGTGGATGGGCTCCTCCTCAGCCTCCTCGGGACTGGGATTCCGGGAGTAAAGAAAGATGAAGGCGCAGATCACTCCACATGCCACAAGTCCAGCCTTTGTGGTCCGGAGCTGGCTCATGCTTTGAGCTCTCAGGGTCTTCTCACCACCATAGCTTGAGATGGTTTCCTTTCAGTTTCCTACAGGAACAACAGAGAACATTTGAGTTGGGTAACGCTCCCCCCAACTCTCCTGAAGCACATGAACCGTATGTCTTAAGTACATCACTTGGGGCTAGGGATGCCACTCAGTGGGCAGAGTGTCTGCCTGGCATCCATGAGGCCCAGGGCTCCTCCGCAGCTCTGCATGAACCAGGTGTGGTGTTGCAGGTTTGTTATCTCTGCACTGGAGGGTGGGGACAGGGAGGGCAGAAGTTCAGGGTCATCCTTGGCTACACAGCAAGTTCAAATGATCCATAGATGGCTAGGTAGGTAGATGGACAGATGGGGAATGCCATTTGAACAGACCTTGGTTTATTGGGTTCCTTCTTTCTGTCTTTTTTAGAGGGGTTTGTTTTGTTATCAAGCTGACCTTGAACCCGTGGATTTAAGCAGTCCTCCTGTCTCAGGCTCCCAAATCACTGACCTGCAGGTGCCTGCAACATACCTGTGTGTAATCTGACCATTGTTTTAAGGGTGTGCACTCTGAAACTATTACCACATCAGGCAAGTTTCACCCCGGTGTTTCCTTATGCCCCAGGAAGCCATCTGTCTTTCTACCCCATCTTGCAACAGCCATTTGTGTGCTTCTGTGTCCCTGGAGTCTGTGAGGGGCTATAAGTGGACTCGTACAGTGGATTCTTGGGGACCAGAGGGGCTTTTCCTAGTTAAGATAATGAGCCGGAGAGTCTGCCTCCTCATTGCAGTTTTCATTAGTTCTTGTTCATTGCTGAATGATACTCCATCCCATAGTTGTGCACAGTTTATTTGTTCAGCTGTTGATGGACTCCTATGCCATTTCAGCTTCTCATTATTACAGAGATGCTGTAAGCATTGTGCACGAGCTTTGAGAAGACAGCTGTTTCTGTCTGTCTCAAGTGGATGTGGGATAGTGAATGGCTGCCTCACACGTTGGCTGTATAGCTGCCCCGGGGCTTTCCCACGTCAGTACAGCTGCAGGTAGGAGAGTTGGCCACACTGCACGTTGTCAGCACTCCGTTTCCATGGTAACCATCCTAATTGGCTTGCAAGGGGCAATTCCCTGCGGTCTCACTGTGTGTCCCTGATGACTGTCACTGCTGAGTACGCACTCAAGAGTTATTCCCCTGTATTTACACCTTTCCCCATTACATTGAGTCCAAATCTTTCCATAAAGGAGTTGAAGGACAAATAAGAGTTTGTGGTTACAAAGGTAAGCCTGTTGAAAGAGCTGATGAATTGTTTCTAGGGATTAAAATCAAGGTGGGTAGTGATGTCTCTTGATGCCAATGTGGGACTTGTCTAGAACCGCGGTAGGTACGTGAGCAGCTGCAGCAGACGGTGCTGAAGGCGCATTAGTGGAGGACTGCTGCATGCCGTGTTTGTCCTTCTGCGTTTAGCGAGGCAAGCTGTCCAGGCAAGATGTCAGGCTGTGCCGTCAGGAGGTCTTGCTGTGTGTGAACACTGATTCTTGAGTGCCACAGAAGTCTTATTCTCATGGCGAATGGACTTGCATAGCTCTTTGCCTGGGATGTGACTTGGGAGCAGACAGACCAGCTTTGAGCTACTCCCGGGCTCTCAAGTTCTCACCTTGAGAGCTCTGTCTGTTGTGGACATTTTAAATACCACATTTTCACTGTAGTTTCTTACCACCTAACGTGCTTCGAAATACAAAGCAGCCACTGCCCTGGATGCTGGGTCACAGACCCCGTCAACATCTAATTGCAACAAAGCATCAAACCTTAGGGTCTCTTTTGCAAGAGTTTATAAAGCATGCAAGGTCTACCTTCAAAGCATGGCACTCTGATGACTCATCATTTCATGTCTGCTCCCCAAAATAAACAGCCCCGCCCCAGCATAGAAATCCACCAGGAAGGAGGTCCCTACTGAAGGAGACGCAGGGCAAGCATCACGACACTTAGAACTCGTCGTTTTGTCATTTTAGACGTTTACTTATTTTTCACTTTGGTTTGTTTTTTTAGAGACATAGTCTCACCATGTAGCTCTGGCTGTCCTGGAACTCACAGTGTAGACCAGGCTGGCCTTGAACTCACAGAGATCTGTTCTGGGTGGGATTAAGGGCATGTCACCACACCCAGCTAAAGCTTAGGAATTTTGAACAAGGTACACAATACACCTTGGTGCACCTCTACTGGTATGGTAGCTTTTGCCAGGAAGGCGGCTGAGGAGCTGCTTGGTTCTCCGCTGCCTGCATTGCCAAGTGTGCCCCCCATAAACCTCTTGCTGTAGCCAAGCCCCAGGGACTGCTCTTTCGGCCATTTATAGAATTAAGTGCAGACAGGCCCCGGGATAGCCCAGGGTCCTTCAGTGTGCTCCCTGGCCTAAGTGGTTTTCTGCCTCTTTTAGGTGAGCGAGAGCAAGCTGGGGTTTCTTTTCACCTTCCCCCTTGTCCTCAGCCCAGCTGACACGGGGGCCTGACTGCAACCCTGCCCACATGCCCCAGTTTCAGCCCCAGCCTGTCCACTGCTTCCATTTAGTATTTTGTTATTCCTTTTGAGAAGTCTATTCATTTGGTCAACAGCATTCAGAGAGTTTCCTCAAGCTTTCCTTCCAAAGCCCAGCTCATTATTTCATGTCTCACACTGAGAGCCTGGTTCTCAACCTGAAGGCTGAGGATGCGCTGCGGAGCCACAGTAGCTGAGGGCTACGAGTGTCCATTCTCCTTCTGCACACGCCGGGATGGTTGCCAGCCTGGTACTTGATTGGTCCCAGACCCGGTGTGACAGAGTTCCCTCGGAGTTACCTTCTAAGCATGGTGACTCAAGTCCCTGTGACCACAACAGGGCAGGTTCTCTTCTGTCGTCTTTGTCGTCCTTGGGCTCAGGACAGTGTCCACAGCACCCTGAACGTCAGTTTTTATAGTCACATGTGTTAGCTGGGCTGATTTGAACCTAAGCAACCTAACTGTAAGCACCTAAGCCCTGTGTCCTGGTCCAGCCACGTGTCAGCAGAGGTGCGCTCCTGTTGAGGTGTCCACTCAGAACAAGCACAGCTCCCAGTTTATTTTCAGTACTGCCACCAATAAGAACGGAGACTGGCCTGGCCTCCAGGCTGACTTACCTAAATCAGGTTAGTACCCGGTGGCTTGTTAACACCTGTGAAATGTCATCTGTCACTTGCTGTGGAAATAGCCCACCATGATTTTCTTTGGCTCGCAGCCAGAAACCATGGAACTATTTTTGAGGGGGAAATGATGCCTGCCTGCCATCCATCACTGTGACTGTGTTTACAGTCACAGGCAGGTGAGAAAGCCCTGCTTCCTTCAGAGCTTACACCTGCCTGCCTGCTGTCCACCGTCCCTCCCCATGCTGTTAGAGACACTCACCGGGTGCAGTTCTGTTTCTGGAGGGAACCCGGGCAGGTGCTGGCCCAGCCTCCTTTCTTCTGACCGACTCCGATGGCTGCGGCTCCTGTTTCTCAGAGTTACCTGGCAAGCTGGCTTGCCTTTGCATCCCTAGGGACTTGTATTCTTGTTGATTCTGACACGTTGGTTAAAAAAAAAAAAAAAGCTTCTGTATTTGATCCCTGAGAATTATTCAGAATTGTACACCTGCCAGGAAAAAAAAAAAAGGGGGGCCAGGGGAGTAGACATAAAGCAATACAAGGTGCTGCAGAGAGCCGCAGCCCAGAGGAGTGTGCAGCCTCCGGACTCTGAAGCAGCGGCTGGCCCTCTAGCTCTGAACATCACACTCTGTACTGGGCAGAGATCGTCAACCCCCAAACTCGGAAAGCTGCTAGCTGGGCCGATGTTTTGTAAGATGGGGAAGTCCTAAAATGCTCTTCAAAGCCAGGCGTGGTAGCACGAGCTTTAATCCCAGCATTCTGCACGTGGGAGACTGAGGCAGGTGGATCTCTGAATTCCCGGTTAACATACATAGTGAACTCCAGGCCAGCCAAGACTACATAGACACTGTCCCAAAAACAAAAACAAAACAACAAAATATTCTCTGTAAGACAGGAGGCTGATTTTTCTGACACTTGTCTGTATTTAGGTTTACTCTGGATAGATCTACTTTTTCCCATTCATTCATTAACTTGTTTATTACTAAGTGTGTGCGTGCGTGCATGTGTGCACCCACCTGCCACTGAGCATGAGTGGAGGGCAGAGGACAGTTTGCAAAGGTCAGTTCTTGCACCTTGTGGTTCCAAGGATTATGCTCAGGCCATGAGGTTTGGCAGCAAGTGTCTACCTGCTGAGCCATCTCACTGGCCTGACATAGCTGTTTTCAGGAGAGCAGTGCGAAGGATTAGGTCACCACCCTCCGTGCATACCTGGTAGAGTGCTCATGGAGTGCATCCGGTGCAGGCTTCCACCACAGAACAGAACATGGGGGGGCAGCACAGGAGACTTGTCCCTCCTGTTTCTGGATTCCTACGATGGCAGGGTGGGTGGGTGGTGTCTTCACCTGCTGGAGAAGCCACCCTGAGGCACCCTGTCCCAGCTGCTATAGAAAGAGGTCTAGGTGGGGTAGCTAGCAGAGTCTCCGTGAACTTCAGGCCCAGCCCCCATGTCACCTTGGAGGAGGGAGAGCAAGTCCAGCTTGTGGGGGGGGGGAGGTCGTCTCGGCTTCCACCTGTTGAGGTTCTGCTTCTATCTAGCCAGAATCATGAAAGAGCAGCCAGACATGCTGCACACGACTTAACGGTGGAGGGTAGCCTGGGCTACAGTGAGATTTAAGATCTGAGCACAGTAGTTCTCGTCTGTCATCCCAGCACTTGGAAGACCCAGGCAGGAGAATTTCCATGAGTTCCAGGCCAGCTTAAATTATGTAGTTCTCAACTAACCTGGCCTAGTGAGAGCCTGTCTGAATGAAAGGAAAGGAGAAAAAGTTGTTAATAACAAAATGTGGATCAGTTCCCATGAGCCATCTCTGCCTGTGCATCACTATGCTCTTCCTCCACCAAAGGTGTCCCTAGATCTTCCTCCATGGAGAGGAGCTGGTGCTGCCATGGCTGGCTGCTTCCTTGGTTTGTCT